AAACAACCTACTGGTACAGCCATCTAAACGTTTCGTTTAGATGGCTGTACAGTAGGTTGTTTAGGAAGTGTTTTGGTAGCTGTACGGTATTAGTTTATAAAGTGTTCAAACGGTTGTACAGTGGTTGTTTAGGAAGTGTTTTGGTAGCTGTACGGTATAGTTTATAAAGTGTTCAAATGGTTGTACAGTTGGTTGTTTAGGAAGTGTTTTGGTAGCTGTACGGTAATGGTTTATGTTTCATAAACTAAGGTAGCTGTAAAGAGACACTTCCTTAACAATCAAATTGTACAACCATCTAAACACGTCATGAACTACTACCGTACAGCTACCAAAACATTTCATAAACTACCTACTGTAAAGCAACCTAAAACGTTTTTAATGTATTAAGTGTACAACCATCTACACATATCCTAAAATCCCTGTCAGAGATATTTAGTAAATATCAACTCTTTTAACAGCTTTTAAAACATTATATTCCCAAGAAGGACTTCCCACGTTTACCAGCATTGCGCAATATTCCGAGCTTTCTTATTTAAATGTTTTCTCTTTGTGGGAGATATTTGTTGCGATATTATCCTTATTTTTTGTTTTCAGGGTGGAAAATACTATTTTTTTGAGCATGTTACTTTCCCTCAACGAACTTGGAGTAAAGCGATCCAAGAAAAGTTCGAACCTGTATGGACCGTATTTTTTGCCGGATGCAAAATTACCCGATCTCCTGTTTCTTACATAGATGGCGCTGGTTTCTCTCACGTGACCCATGAAACTTCCTATCCTTCATTCGTGCCTATTTTTTGTAGGCCACACTTTCTAGGTGTTGCTACGAAGTAAAGTTCATGTACCTTTTGATGTGGCCCATTAGTTTGTAGAAATATATATATATATATATACAAGTGCTGCTCAATAAAAACCTGCATTTTTTGGGAGTTTCATAACTCTTTACACTTCATTCAATTAAGAGCAATTTCCTGTCTTTTGTATATCTCTAAGGACGTGTGGAATATTAGGACACAACATATAGTACAATATCGAAAAAATAGTGAAATATTAGGATATAACTTATAGTACAATATCAATTAAAACAGTGAAACATTAAGACATAACTTATAGTACAATATCGAAAAAATAGTGAAATATTAGGACATAACTTATAGTACAATATCAATTAAAACAGTGAAACATTAGCACATAACTTATAGTACAATATCAATTAAAGCAGTGACATATTAGGATATAAGTTATAGTAAAACATCGGTTAAAACAGTGGAATATTAGGACACAACTTATAGTACAATATCTATTAGAACAGTGATATATTAAGACATAACTTATTGTACAATATCAATTAAAACAGTGACATATTAGGACATAACTTATAGTACAACATCGGTTAAAATAGTGGAATATTAGGACACAACTTATAGTATATCAATTAAAACAGTGAAATATTAGGACATAACTTATAGTACAATATCAATTAAAACAGTGACATTAAGACATAACTTATAGTACAATATCAATTAAAACAGTGAAACATTAAGACATAACTTATAGTACAATATCAATTAAAACAGTGAAACATTAAGACATAACTTATAGTACAATATCAATTAAAACAGTGAAACATTAAGACATAACTTATAGTAGAATATCGGTAAAGATAATGTTACGACAGCGGAGGTCACGTGACTCTAGTAACACGTCACGCGCTTCTAGAACGTTTGTGAATCCTCGGGAGGTTACTCGATATGCGGTAGTCTTGTATATATAAGACGGTCAAGACGTGACGGCATCAAGATAATGTGTAATTGAACTGCGGACAGAGACAGACGTATTGTTGAACACGTGAGACGTACGTTGTGAAATATAGCGTTTGTTATAGCGCGACTGTGGAAATTAAGTGTATCGCAAAGTTGTATTCAGAAAGAATAAACCAGTTTTATTTAAGACAGGACTTGTATCGGTAAAGTTTCTTCGGAAAGAATCTTTACGGAAAATTAACTAACGAACGGAGGCGTAACAATAGTGAAATATTATTATAATATACTTATCAATCAATAACTGGAAATTAAACTTAATACAATAACACTGTATTCATGCAGTAAACTTAAATTTAGTATATATTTCTGTGAAAGTAAACTTAAAACAATAACACAATACTTATCAGGAGAACGTTTTGGGATGGCGCCGAATTCAGTTTATGGAAATTTTTTTCAGTCAGGCCTGATTAACAAGTAAAGAATATTGCGCCCAGCTGAATTGAGGGGCCAATATGAGGTCAGTCCGCTTTTTTCTCCCTCAAACCTTTTGTAAAGCACACTTATGGTGTTTATGCACACAAACTTAAACTTAGTACCACTCAGTATTTATATAGGCTTAGTTTGTTTGTCGTTAAGTGCAAACCTACACGATGAGCTATCTATGCTCTACCCACATCGAGTAACGAAACCCAAATTTTAGCGTTATAAACCCAATGACTTAACATTGAGCCACCGGTGCATATAGGAACAGGAATCTAGTATAGTAAATATTTAATTGTATATATGTAAATATATATAACGAAACACGGTTTTTACCGTCATAAGCCTTCAGACTTATCGTTGAGCCACTGGGGCTCTATACATATATACACAAAAAGTAACATAGTTCAATAATGCAGAAAGTTTCTTTTTTTTGTGGGAAAGTAAACTTAATAGGATGATAAAATATAATTAATGACAAAAGAAAACCCGGAAAACAAACAAAACAAAAAGCATTATGTATAATAGACCTGCTTGTCAAAATCATTTATAACTTAATTATGGAAAAGACGGTAGTTCTGTATAAGTTAAATAAACTAAAAACACCACAGCAATACAATTGGACAGTCATATATTAAATACGACACCGGGTTCATTGAACAACTTTACGTATTTCGTAACTCGCTTTATCACGACACGAATCGTTGATGGCAGACGCGTCCCTCGTGATGATGCCGTCACAGAAACACGTAGAGTTGTTTGATGAGACCACAGATAAAGCGTGATTGTACGATTATGAACGTTGTGATGTTTTAGTTAATTTATTCACCTGTAACGTCTTTACTCTGTTAGAACTGATGGTTTACCATCGAGTTAACACGAGTTTTCAACCAGAACCCATAATAGTTTGTATGTGTGTAATGCTTTCTCGTTTTTTTTAGAACTGACCTACTTTATATTTATAAATGTAAAGGGTATAGTAGAACAGGTAATAAAGTTAACGTGTGGTTACCTTTACAAGCATGATTACCCGAGATTTGTCCTACTGGGAGATTACGAATGTACGTTAAAAACCAGTGGTAGGTAGTTGTAGAGTATACAAAAATATACTGAGACTTGTAACTTACGTATAAAAAATATATAACTTGAGTGATCAAACAAAAGGCAATACTGTAAACAATGAGAAAGAACATTAGTAACAAATGTTCTTTTTCAAATATTTAAATCATAGAAGATTATAGTGACCACAAGATGTTTTCAAAGTCATACTTACCATGCATTAATTTATCATTACAAGAGGCCTAACAACGACCTTGAGTGTATATTTGGTTAAGGTGAAATAAACAGAAACTGAATCAACAATGTTATTATCATTTATCCCTGTTTTCTTATCACATCTTGAAGAATAACGCTCACTCAAGAATGTTATTAATTTTGTAGTTCGTAAAAACCAAAACCTTGTAGTCGTATTCACGAATAAGTCCAGGCTGTATTCGAAAGATTAAAGGTAAAGTAATGGGAAATAGGAAGACTGAGTCTAATATAATTCATTATGTTACATCTCTATTATACCTAAAACAGGCAACAGTTGCTAACCTCTCTATAATGAATTAAACAGACACCTTTTGGAAATATCTCTATAACGTAGTAAACAAACAGCTGTTGATAACAACTGTATAATATACTAAAGAAATAACTGTTGGTGACATTTGTATAATGTCTCAAACAGACAACTGTTGCTAACATCTTTACAATCTCCTAAACAAACAACTGCTATAAAATATATATAATATCCTAAACAGACAACTGTTTATAATATCTATGTAGTATCTTAAACAGACCTGTTTAAGGCTGAAGAGTGAAAGTGTAGCTTTTTGTTGTGTTGAAAACACTGCTAGAAGAGGTACATATGAATGGGGGAACAATCACACAGTAAGTAAATAGCAATATCAGCTAGCCATCACTAATTTTGAACGGATAGACTAGGAAAATGGCAGCTAGTCAACATCTCCCTCTGTCAAATCTCTTGGGCTACTGCAATTTAAGAATTCGACAGTCACTTTTATAATGCACCCATGACTTGAAAGTGGTAAGCACGATTTGCCACAACGGGTTACGAACTTTGAACCATTCATATTCACAGTCAGGTACGATAATTACTGAGCCACGCGTCGCTACCCTTATGTCAGAAATTGGTAGCATGACAAACTTTAAAAAAATTAAATAATGTATTCTTCTCTTTACTCCAAGGCATACTGACCACGAACAGTACCCCGAATACGTCCTCTTGTCTTCGCTCCAAGACATACTGACCACGAACAGTACCCCGAATACGTCCTCTTGTCTTCGCTCCAAGACATACTGACCACGAACAGTACCCCGAATACGTCCTCTTCTCTTCGCTCCAAGACATACTGACCACGAATAGTGCTCTGAATACGTTTTCTTGTCTTCACTCCAAGACATACTGACCATTAAAAGTACTTTGAATACGGCCTCTTCTCTTTATTCCTGTTCATTTTGACCAACAACATTTTTCTGACTTGTCTACTCTTTATTCTAGAAGAACCTGACCATCAACAATTCCCGGAACATGTACTTCTTCTTTATTATGGGAGATACAGACTATCGAAGGATCTGGGAACATGTACTTCTTTATTATGGGAGATACAGAGTATCGAAGGATCTGGGAACATGTACTTCTTCTTTATCATGGGAGATATAGACTAGCGAAGGATCTGGGAACATGTACTTGTTTATCATGGGAGATATAGACTAGCGAAGGATCTGGGAACATGTACTTCTTCTTTATTATGGGAGATACAGACTATCGAAGGATCTGGGAACATGTACTTCTTTATTATGGGAGATATAGACTATCGAAGGATCTGGGAACATGTACTTCTTTATTATGGGAGATATAGACTATCGAAGGATCTGGGAACATGTAC